AAAGACTGGCAGCTCAGTCACAGTGACCTGACCCACCAGAAACTCGAGCTACCAGTAATGCAGTTGAGCAGCGCTTCGCACTGCAACTCCGACCTTAGGATTCTTCTAGAACGAGGACATCAAGACCTGCAATACCTTTACAGCCAGGTAGCTCTGCTTCTTGAACGATGCCCCGCCTGGATTTGAATAGACTGCACTTGAAGCTGACTCTAGGCCAGGCTTTGAGCAGAATGACCCACTCAACCAAGACGCAATATCTCTCGCCATGCAAACAGGCGCTCAGAGAAAGACCATGCTCCTTGACACTTCTCGTCTCTTTGCCTCACAGAAGCACGCATTGTTTGGACCTTTGACCCATGAAGTCTTTGGTTTGACCCCGTCTTTGCAAATCCGCTGAGGCCGGAGGCCTGGGTCCTTTAGATCCGGGAGCCGGAGACTAGGCACGGGGGGGCGGGGCTGCAGGGTGGGAGGGGGGCGGGGGGTTTTGTACAGCGGGCTCCAGCTGCAGTGCAGGTGAACACGTGTCCGGCTCATGCACGACATCAGCCAGGCTGCCCCTCAACTGACATTTCTGCCCTCGACTACCTTTGCCGAGGATTTCACGTTAGCGACAAAATTATGACGGAAGTAGCTCTCAACGTCCTCCTTGACGTCATTGCAATCGAGCTTAGATTAGATGGCTCGTAGATCGCTCTGTTGACGGAGAGGGGCCCTGCTAAGTCGGGAGCACATACTGGCTAGTCTTCGCGTTGACACTGCATGTCGGAACAAGGGATCTTCCACACCAACAGCTTGCCAGTGGAAACCTTTTGTGACAACTTGCACAAGTCATCTTTGAAATACACCTCTGCGGTTTCTCATGAAACTCAAGATTTCTTGCGACCCTCCAGCATCCCGCACTGAGCAGGTCAGGGCATTCACTCACCATCCCGGCGGTAATATTATGCAAACCAAGCGAAAAACGCCAGAAATACACCAAGCAGCGGTATGTGCTGCAGCGTCCTCAGAGCCTGATGCAGCTTTGACACACTGCATGCTGGCAGCAACCTTCAAGCCATCGTCATCTTTGCCACAGCTGAAGACAATCAAAAAAAGGCTTGTCGATTAGTTAAGCAATGCATGTGTATAGCCATTTGCATCTTCGCTGCCGATTCATGCGTTTGGAAGCGAACGTAGCCTTGTCGCCACGTGAAGAAGCAAAGGGACAAACGGATACCAGTCACAGCTACTCAGTAACACAAAAGAATAGAACCATTCCTTGACACAACTGTGAGCCTACGAGAGCCTACGAATGCAAGCAGCCAGTACAAAGCACCTCAAAGTAAACAACTCCAATGACACGAAAGAGGTGAAGAAACATGACAACAGCCTGCCAGCGTGTCTCCTCCTCAGGCAGCTCGACACAGCGGAAACGAGAAGGGAAGGCTCAGATGCGGCGGAGGGTTGTTTTTGCAAAGGTGTGGTTCGCTAGTTTTGTGTCTTGGAGCGCGTCAAATGCTGCAAAATTTCTGCATTGCTGGTCTTGGAACGTCTCAATCAAATGCTGTGAACACAGCAATTACTGTATCTGCCGGCCTTGGAACGCTTCACATGCTATGCTATAAGTTGCTGTAAAGTACAGCAGTTGCTGGTCTTGGAGCATGTCAAATGCTGGACATTACAAGCCTTGTTGGTCTTGGAACCAAATACTGTAAATTACAGCATCTGCTGGTCTTGGCAACCTTCAAGCGCTGTAAATTAAGTATCTGCTAGTCTTGGAATGTTTCAACTGCTGTAAATGACAACGTCTGCTGATCTTGGAAAGCATTGCATGCTGTAATCTACAGCATATGCTGGTCTTGCAACGTTCCACTCCTTCAACTAGTTTGCTAGGAAAGGAATGGACTCTTGGAATTGGGGGTACAAATGAGGCTTAGGTGCTAGTTTGGTGTTTCCAGCTTACTTGCTGGCTGATACGGAAGGATGGAACTGAAAAGGAAACACCATCTAATTGAAGATTCTATAAGAGCTGTTCTGAAGACCCCTTCAAAATCACAACACAACTTTCCCTTACTGCAAACATGCTAACGACATTATACGTCTTTTCTATTGCAAGCATGGATGGCTTGAAAACAGCGGGGGGGGTTGGGAGGGGCGCAATCCCCCCCTTTGCAAACGAGATGACCCGCACAACTTTCCCTTACTGCAAACATGCTGATGACATGATGCTTCTTTTATTGCAAGCATAGATGGCTTTAAATCAGCGAGGGGATTTGGGGCTAGCGCAGCTCCCCACCATTTGTACACAAAATGATCCGCACAACCTTGCTGACATCATGCTTCTTTCTGATTGCATACACTGGTGACCTTCAAACAGCGGGGGCTTGCGCAGCCTTCCCCCCGGTGCAAACAAAATGATCCACACAACTTTCCCTTACTGCAAACATGGTGATGGCATGATGCATCTTGTTTTATTGCAAGCATGGATAGGCCAAGAGGCTGCGAGGGATTCTGAGGGTCTAACACCGACGACAGTTGCGAGGATCACGACCCCGACCCCCGCGATCCCTGTGGCTGTTGACATGTTTCAAAGTCCAAGAGGATTCGAGGGTCTAAATGCAACTATGGCAGGTTTGGGGTTTAGAGTTATAGCCATAGCCCCTGATTCAGTAGGGAATGCAAGAATGGGTTTCTGGACTGTATGTCATTGGGGATCAAATGACAAGGGCTAAGGCCCATTCCTCCCAATTGCTTGAACTGCCGTTGATCTTTGGCAGCAGAGTAGGCTGCTACCCCAACCCGACTCACAAATGCTGCCAAGACCACCGGGAATGAAGGAAATTTTGCACCATCTTGTATACTGTACCATAAAACTTGCGCATCACGACTACGACCTTCTGAGACTTCCAAGTACTGCAAAATCTAGGACCATAGCACCAGAGAACCACAGGATCACAGGGCCAGAGGACCACAGGACCGGAGGGCCGGAGGACAACAGGCACCGAGGAGTTCTGTTTGATGCCTGTGCCCGATTTGCAAGTGAAGGGTGACCTGATGATGGGGACCACCGGACCAAAGACCAGGGGACCACAGGACCACCAGACCATAGGACCATCTCAAACACTGCAAATCACAGCATTTGCTGGTCTTGGAACGGTTCAAATGCTGTAAATAAAAACATTTCAAAGGGACCACCGGACCAGAGGACCACAGGGCCAAAGGACCACAGTGCCAAGGGGCCAGAGCCACACCCTTGCAGAAGAAAAACTGGACCTCTCAGATGTAACACGACAAAGTTTGAAGGTGCCAATCCCGCGAATCGCAAAGACGAAGGAATCCCTAAATCTCACGAGAAATGAGCAGTATATGCAGCTGGCTGTTTCAATTGCTCATATCGCGAGGCGCTAAACTGAATCAAGCATCTTGCAAAACAAACTTTGATCCCGGATGCCCACGTCTTCGCCGATGAGTCACTGGAAGCTGGATACATTCTGTCCGAGTGGCTGCACTTGCGCCATTCATGACTTTCAAAAAGCTCAATCGGTGCTCTGGAATCCAGATCCTGCTTGCTTCCGCCTTGCAACCACAAGAACAGCTTGGCTGGTGTGAGATCTGGCAGGTTCCAGAAAAAGAGCTCGCGCCGTTGATCTGCTTCTCGATCCGTCTCCCAGCCTTTGATGGCGCAGCCGCGGCCCACTAGCAGCTCATCAACAAACACCTTCTGCTTTTCTGTCGTTGAATTGGGGAGGAACTTGGCCCTAGCAGGTATCCCTTTCGCCGCAAATCTGCCATTAAGGTCCTTGACAGCTGTGGTTGCTATTTCTCTCAATAAATATCCCACACGGAACTGGCCGTCTGTCTTATCGTCTCGATATGGCCCAGAGATGTCACCGTATCGTCTGCACATCTTCTCGACAGTCGCTGAGCGGAAGACCGCCGGCAATGCTGTCAGCTCAATCCAATGTCTCTGACAAGTACCAGGCTCATTCTCAGCCTCAGGAGTCTCAGTCTCAGGTGCCTGTTCAGCTGCTTTTGCATCCTGTGCGCAACGCTGCGCGCACCTTGCAAGGAACTCATCCACCTCCGGCTCTGCTTGCTGGGCTTGTGAAAGTGCCGAGCTTGGTCGGGCCTTGGAGACTCCGAGCCTGCCAGGGCAGGCGGTCAGTATCCAGTTCATCCGAGACCTGTGCAAGGCCTTTCACGTTGGCGCGTGGTCTGCGATTGTTCCCTGCTCTCTGCGTGCGCCTCTCAGGGACAAAGAAACGGGCATCGTCCTGAGCCGGAAATTCTCGCGAGCCTGCTTCAGCTGCTGTGGAAGGCCTGATGCTGGGGCTGGCCTGTCCAACGCGCTACAAAGAGCAACAAATGATCACGAATACACCTGGCGCATGAAACCATGACGGAAACAAACCCACCTGTTCAAACGTCTGGGCTAGATTTGCTTCTTGTCTTTCCACTCTCCTTGCATCCGAGTCACTGCTCGCGCTGCCTCCTGGTGCACATGAGTTGTAGGTTTAGGTCACCGCTGCGTGCATCCATGCCGGCCAGACTTTCCTGATGGCCCTAATCACCCACATGTACCAACGCCCTGGTGTGTTTTCAAGGCCGAAATCGCGGCACGTCCGGCAAGGCACGTAGCAGCAAACACAAGTGTTCCGACCAGGATGCTTCTAGCCAGCTAACCAGCAGTTTTGCTGAAGCTTAGTGTCAAACCCTCTAGCTTTAGCCATCGCATGCCAGGACATAAACTGCTCAAGTAGACCTCACACTCATCGGCATGCACGAACAAATCTAGCAAGTGTCACGAAGAGTGAGCATGGGCCGAGATCCTGAGTCTCTTCTCTGTAGCCCGACCCACCGAGCCGCGTGCTCTGATTGCCATTGCTCAACGTCAGGCTTCTCGGCTTCTCAGAAGAAAGCTGGCTGCGGAGAATTTCATGAAGCCGTCCAAAAATTACCGTCTTGCAAGGAGCACTCCTATATCCATACCACAAAACACATCCTGAGCTGAAACGCGGCACCTGGCAGTGGGCCCGCAGGGTTTCTGCAGTCACCGCACCATCCAAGCCTGACCGCCCATGCAAAAGAAGGGCGTCTGGAAGTTCTAAAGGCAGACACTCCAACCTTCACGGAGACTGACAAAGGCCACCAGTTCAGCAGGCTCCTTGGAAGCCACCACCGCGACCTGCTCCAGAACCCGCCCTCTAGCTCCTTTCTGCATGCGAACCACGCCTCTTTCAGTCCAGGTCGGGGTCCATTTCCGAGTTCAAGGCCTGACGGACCACCGTCCTGACTTCAAATCCAAGCACAGCAAGCCACATAACTTTTGGCACTCTTGACGTCCTCAGAGGTCGAGTAATGGTACCTCAATTGTTTGTGTCGGCATGCGCTCATGGCGAAACCTCACTGCAACTTGTCCACTCTCACTGAGTCTCAGCCGGCGCAACACTGCTTCTACCTCTTCTGGCTCAACACGAACGCCACGAATCTTCACCTGTCATTAGCAGGGCCATCATGGTCCTTGTGTACCTTTCAGCAACGATGGAAACATGAACCTGGCGGTCAACGCGACCAATCACCTGCATCTCAGAAGATGTGACTCTGCGGTCTCAGTCTAAGCTTCCTCAACATTTCCCACCTCCAGTTGTCCTGCCCTCCAGCGACCCATGTCGCCAGTTCTATACAGTCTGCCAAACTCCTGCGAGCAACATGCCCAATGCCCTCAGAAAGCGGCACTCCCTAGTTAGCCCTGCAGTGACTCTGCCTGACACCTGACAGTCTGCAAGGCAGCTTGGAACTTTGGCCGACAGCTGCATTCCTAAGCCGTCTCAAGCGGTACTCTAGCCCATCTGAAGTCGCATAGATATGAAGGCAGGCATGGCACCCGCGTCAAAACCACTTAAATGAACGACCCTTTGAAGCCAGCAGCAATGCTGCAAGTCGGACATGGCCAATGGCCAACCACTGGGCACTTCAGGGCAGTCCTTTGTATCAATCCACTTTTGCATTGTCAGCTCTTCGTGCTTCCAATAGCCTCGGGCAAAGCTGCGTCAAACTCTCTCAAGACATGCTCTATGAAGATGGACCAGATGTCTTGGAGCCAGAAAGAAAACCAAAGTCCGCAGGAATGCTGGTATTGGATGCTTTACTGAACTGAATTCACGAAGCCTGACTAGCTGTTGCCAACTGCAGCGACACCTGACACATTGCTTCCGGTACGAACCCGAAATGTGCTGAGATCGTCGCAAGCAGCCAGCACACCACCAAAGCAGATCTCGCCTGCCTGCGGGATTCACGGCAAGGAAGAGGTATAAAAGGTTGGTCGTCTCACCTCACCACCAGGAACCGGCACCAGAACAGGAGGTCCTGATTCCTGCAACAGCAATGTTTCCCCAAGATGTATTTCCTCTGGGGAAGAAGGAAAGAGGCGGCAGGGAATCCTGAGCCTCTTCCTTCATCACAAATACTTTCGCATGTGGCTGTGGCCGGCCACAGGGGGCCTCATCAGAAAGCAGGCAGAGGAACTCCCACGTGGTACCAATGGTGCCAGGGCCATTGCCTTTGACGGAAAGATCTCCAGATCAATGCCCTCTTTGGGCACTGTGTACACCTGCTGCGTAGCTACGTTGTTGATTCCCGGCTCCCTGCTGGGTAGAGATGTACAAGACCGCGTAAGACATGCAAGCTGCGCAGTGCAGGAGCTTTCAGATGCCCCGTAAAAGTTGTGGAGCTGCGCCTACTAGCTCGCAAGGGATCATAACAAGCCTTGGCAAAATTTCTGGAAGCTGCAGAGAACTGTTGCCACCACCAACAATGCTGGTCTCTGGCTCATCCAACGCAAGAATTTGCCAACATGGAGAACTAACCAAAGCACGAAGAACCTATTCACGTCACACACACTGCAGTTTACCAGCAATGCAAACCTCCAGTTTCAAAAGGGTTTGCACCAGCCTCAACGCCTCTGGTCTTCATGACACCTGCGGCTGATTCCGAGCGCCCCAAGACCAGTCCAAGGCCACCCCGAGTGCAGCCAGTGCAGCTGAGTTTCGGTTCGCAACAGCACACCCGAGCGGCTCACCAACTGTCACAATGTGCTTGACCTGACAACTGCTGAGGTCTCATTTCAATGTGTGCACGAAAGCTGCTGCCCCGTTCATGCTAAGATAGAAGAAACCAGAATGAATCGATGGCAGAAGATCATAGCTTGTTTCCGGCCACACAGTCTGGCCAAAGCGTCTACGTTCGCGCTTTCTGATCTCTCAGTCATGCGATTCGCATGCTCCATATTGCTGTCCATGTGCATTCATGTCCCGCTTGTCTGGATAGCCTCGCTATGCAGACAGATTGGAAGATGGCAATGCATTCCAAGGTCGGTACACAAGATAGACAGTTTAAACGAAGATTGTGCAGTTTCAGATCCCTGTCCTGATACAGACAAAACAAAATCCAAGATGCATATGAAGGCTTCTGGTACCTTCCCTGGCCAGTAGTTCATGTTCTCAAAGATGCACAAGGCAGCTGGGGCCAGGAAGATACGGACGATGTAGACATCAAAGGCCACTCCAAAGCAGTATAAGCAACCTCAGAGGTTGCCAGCATTCATGTGATGCGAAAGCCACAAGCAGCGCTGA